TTCCCTCAGCCACTCTCCCCTGCTTGTGTGCTTTCTCTCTCTGTCAAATAAATAAATAACATCTTAAAAAAAAAAAAAGAATCAGAATCTTATAGTTCATGGACTTCAGTTTATCTTCCAAGTTGCTAAAATAAGCAGAATGGAGGAGTGAGAAGCCATTTCTTCAACAATCCATAAATCTCAACAAATACAGTCCCCAAATACTTCCTTTATGTGTGTGTGTGTGTGTGTGTGTGTGTGTATTATTTCCCTCCTTTGGTAGATGAAGGGTAGAAGGTTTGCCAAGGGCGGGATGTGGAGCCAGGGAAGAGGAGGAAGTCCATGGGTAAGGGAGATACCCAGATAAAGCAGGAAAACCACAGGATATGCGGGAAGCCCTCAGTTCACAGTGCTTGGCCTCCTCTGCTGGGATGTTAGGTGCTCAGCATGGTGGACAAGGGGCTTGACCGGCCGGGGCTGCAGGTGTGGTTGGACTGCAAGCTCAGCACCCAGGGCCACAGACTTGGACACTGCCCCAGAGTCGTTTGTTCGCTTGCTTGAAATAGGATTCTTAAGGGCAAGTCAATGGCAAAGAGGAAGCAATTAGATGTGTCAAGCTATTCAGTCATCAGAAGAAGAGAGAAAGAGTGACAGACAGAGAGAAATTTGGGATTTTCAAGGGAGAGTTTCCAAATCAGGCTCCCTCCCTCTCATGGTCCACAAGCATCGTACCTCAGAGGAGGAAAGCTGGGGCTCCTGTCCTGTCTCATCCTGATAGCTCACATGAGCAAGGAACCCACAACAATGAAATTTTAAGTGAATGAAAGGTTTTCTGTCAGCGTGGCACTCTGTGGAGCTATCTCTTCACTGTCCAGCCTGTCCAGCCTGCTCTTCTGTCAAGCAGATTGTGTCACGGGGCCCCTGCCCACCTCCCTTGGCTCCTGTGGCATTGGGCACAGGTGGCTCAGGTGTCCAGGCATGGAGCTGGGCAGGCAGCGGAGCCCCCCAGACCTCATGATGCAGGCAGGAGAGCCCCTCCGTACAGCCTTACCTCAGACAAGACACAGGTACTGGGAGCAAGGGCAGAGGGATGCCCAGGATGAGACTTACACTGAATGTCCTTCTTTTGTCTCTTCAAATTCTACAGACCATGGTTCCTGGGAAATCTACACTAGCAGAGTTTCTGCTCATGGATCGTATTTTAAAAAGCCCATTTTTAGATGGAAATGGATTGGATTGGACACCGTAGTCCCCAGAAGCAGCGGCCTTGGAGAGTGAGGGGCCATCCTTAGTGGTCCTTCCTGCTTTTCTCAGCTGCAGTCACTGTCCTGGGCTAATGGTGGCGCAGGGGTCTTCTCTGGAAAAGCGGATGCAAAGAAGGCCTAGCCCAGAATCACTGCCCTCCGGAACTGGGAAAAAAAATCCAGATAACTTTGCCTATCCTGTTCCCTTGTGGTCATTATTATCATTATTAGATTTTTGTGCTGTTATATCTCTATCCCTTTCTTAAGGTTTTTGGTCAATTTCTAGATGTTGTAGCAGGTATTAAACCCATATAACACAATGCAACAGTTAGAGAAGGAGGCAATCCCTCGTTGTATTGCTTGGAAACCGGAGCACCAACCACGCACAGCTGACATGCCGAAGAGCCTGCCGGACCCCCTGGCTCTGAGGGCCCCACTCTTCCTGACCCCCCACCTGCCCCCACCGCTGTAAAACCACTGAGCGCTCACCTCACACACCCCTCCCCCATCCCATTCCATTCTCCAAGAAGCACAGGGGAACAAAGTTGGGGACACACAGCCTCTGTGCCCAGCTCCCTTCCCTGATCTAGAGACGCCACCTGTAGACCGGGCCAGAAATACCCTCAAGGGCAGCCACAGCTCCTTGGTCAGGCCTTGCCAGTGTTCTCTGGGCAAATAGACACAAGGCAGAGGTTAATGCAGCATGCTTTTGACTCCTCCAGCCAAAAATGAGAGTTTTGATACCTAGCAGGGAATTCTTCTGCTAGAGATTGATTTGTCTCCCTTGGGTTAGGGCACTGCCTTTGCTAGGACCCTCTTATAAAGTAGCAAGGGTTCAGGGGGGTGGGAATTGAGCCAGGGAGGGGTCTGGGAGGGGGAGGGAGGGTACCAGGTCTTTTAAAAAGCTTCCTCAGCTGTCCCGCTTTGCAGGAGAGAAGCTGGCTTCCTTTGGTGGGGAACAGGGCTGGCTGGGCGGGGGATACTAGGGGTGACGGCGCACAGGGCACAGGGGCATGAGACGCAGAGCCAGCCCACTTCACTGCTTGCCCAAGGCTGTTCATGTCCCCACACTCACCAGAAAATCCGAGCTAAACCCCGATTTGAGCAGCTAATACAGCATCAGCAGCCCTCTCTCCAGGTGCGTGCTGAGCGCCTCCTGTTCCACCAGGTGTAACTCTCTCTGCTGGCCCCTCTCTGCCTGCTCCTCTCTGCAAGCTGTCTGGAAGCCCTTAGTCTAGATGGCATTCCTGCTAGACAACATAAGCCTTTCGTAAGATCTCCAGAGCGGCATCTGTAGTCCTGGGCAAAAGCCCCTACCCACCAGAGTTCTTCAGATAAGAGTCTCTGGGCCTTGCCTTCTACCCATACGGAGTTCACTGTGGGGTCTTGGTGCTGAAACTACCTCCATTGGCCTTAGCAACCAGGACTTCCATCTCACCCAGTGCCTCCACTCAGGAGTCATTTGGACACCATGTGGGAGTGGGAATAAAAAGATTTGACAACGAGGATGTCAGGGTGCTGACCGGTTGAATGGATGCTGCCCGTGCCCCCAGCCCTGGCTCAACTTGAGGCACTCAGGATGCCATTGGTCATTGCCTCCACCGCACAGACAGAGGTCCCTGGCCCCGCTCAGGTCCCCTTCTTCACCAACTTTGGTACGGAGCCCTGGGCCTTCCTCTGGCAGCTCTGGGAGCACTTCATTGAGATGGATTCCTGCTGGCTGTTGAACAAAGCCCTCCCCGCTACGGAAAGACAACATAGGAGGGAAGGGTTTCTAGTTGCCCCGTCCCATGGTTACCCTCGGGACTGCTCCTGCCATTTGTTTCTTTGTCCAGATAACACTGGCAGGTAAAGAATTTCCCTGCAGGGGCGCCTGGCGGTTTCAGTTGGTTAAGGGACTGCCTTGGGCTCAGGTCATGATCCTGGGGTCCTGGGATCGAGCCCCGTGTCGGGCTCCCTGCTCGGTGGGAAGTCTGCTTCTCCCTCTGTCCACTAGTGCTCTTTCTCTCTCTTAAGGGAATAAATAAAAATCTTAAAAAGAAAGAAAAAAAAAAAAAAGAATTTCCCTGCGGAGGCAAGAAATTGCCCTGGCTGACTTGGAGGAAAAAAGAGGATGAAGGGATCACTAGATAAGGGCACTGAGCCACGTTATACTCGTCTTGAGCCAGAGTGCATCACATGTTTATTAAACCGGACGTGAAGAATGGCCAGCCCACTGTTTCCATCACTGAACTGCCGGCACAGCTCTGCTTCCCAGCCGAAGTACACTGGTCCACGTCAGGACATTGCACTCTAAAGTGAGGTGTGGCCGAGATGCCACAACCCGCAGAGCAACACTGAGGAAAGAACACTCTCTGTGGGGCCCCAGCTGGATTGTAAGAATCTTGCCCTTTCTGATCTGGGGGTTATGTGGACAGCTGCGGGACAGGGGGATGCAAAGAAACTGTCCCAGGCCTTCTCAGGCCACCAAGGCTAGGAAGCTATTTGGAGATGCTCAAGTAACTTGAGCTCCCACAACTTGTTCTGACCATGAGCATCGAGTATGGTGTGTCCAGAGAATTTTGGAGAAAGAGGCTGAGATACCGAATATGGAGCTCAAATTTTAACAGAATTTTTAACTCCATCAGTCTCAGCCTGTTTTTCTAGGATCAGCGGCCTCAAGGGATGGGCTCCTTAGTGCAAGGGGTTCAGTGAGAGACTGAGGGAGACCTGCTGTCCACTTTCAAAGGGATGAAGATATGCATGTTCACCAAGTGCCTTGGGCACTTCCTATAAACCACATTTTAATCCCTTCAATCATCACCGGAGCTCTGAGTCACCCCATCCCTCTTACTGATGAGGAAACAAAGGTTTAGGAGAATTAAACATTCCTTGAAAGGCCTCCCCCTTCCAGGTAACACACCTGTTCTCCGAGAGCACTGCAAACACGCTGTAGCCGCTGATTCCTGGTGGTTCTCACGGACCTTTTGCTCAACCACAGCACAAAGAGGCCAGAGTGGTGGGTTCGCACCTGCCAGTGCCCATCAGCTGCCCGGGTCCAGCCTTCTTGGTCCAGTCAGAGGTCTCAAAAGCAGATGCTACTCTGCCCAAGGTAGGGATGGATCATCCCCTACTAATGGGGGGAGAACTCTCAAAAGGTGAAACCCTTAGGGTCAGTGAGTGCCATTCTGTCATGTTTCAGGAAAATCATCTCTTTTTTTAAAAAAAAAAAAGTCAACTAATATTCTGTCCAACCCATACCAAGCTGGCTTTGTGAAATAGGCAAATATTCTCATGCTTTATACCTTAACGCACTTTCTCTCCCTTATGAACCTTCCAAACATCTCAGACACTATCCTCCGCTCAAATCACTCCTTTGGACTCAACAGAATTCGTACACACCCCACCACACCCAGGGGCCTATGTGCTGTCCCTCCCACTGAATGGAGAGCTTCTTTGAGAACAGTCTGAGTTTTAACCCTCCTCTTGGGTAAATCACCCAGCCTGGTGCCCGGCATGAAGTGCGGTGCATCTTTGCTGATGTATTAATGTGCATGTATATTCCCAGATGGAAGGGATCTGAAACACCACAGGAATCTGAAATACTGAGTCATGTTCCTGTAAAAATGCCTCTGAACAATCTGAGACAGACAAGAGGGATCCCTCTTCTGAGCACACACCCAGGCATGCTCTTTGCCCATCCACATCTCCCTCCACACCCCCTACCCTCCTGCGGCGGCACCATGGCCCGCGGCTGCCCTCTGGTGGCTCTTCAGGGTAATAACAGAGAAACACAAGGACATTTGGGTAGGCTCTTTATTGGGTGGTTATCACGGCACTACAGGGGTCAGCCAAGGTCTGCAGAGTAAGCAGCGTCAGCCTAAGGAATGTGGATCTCCTCTGTTGATCACAGTGGGCAGGATTCTTCAGAAACCTCCCCCTGCTCCACCCAAGCTTAGAAGTGGAACTGGAAAGCCTCAGTCACATGCTGCTTCCATGTTTCCAGGCTGGGCAGCAGGGAAGAGATGCCCATGACGTGCCAGGTCTCCCCATCTGACACCACTGAGGCCTGGTAGGACAGCAGCTGCACGCCTGCCTCTGCCAGGAGGCCTGGAAGTAGATAGGAAAACCGCTGGTTGGCACAGGGCACGGGGGAAGGAGAAGCAAGAGGCTGGGAGCGGGGTCGGAAGACTTGGACCCCTGTGATCAAAGTTGCAATGGGGGGTGATGGTCTCAGAATCAACAGGGAAGAGATGGAACAGGGCACCTGCCCAGCTTCCCTCACTATTCAGAGACTCTGTAGGAACACCCTGACCGTCAGGCCAGGCGGGGAAGGAATGATCCAGACACAAATTGCTTAGAGCAATCTCCTGACTCGCTGGTCGTCAGTTTCATCCAGACCAAGAGCAAAGGAGAAAAGCAGGGGAAAGTTCCCCTGGTCAGCTGGCAAGGATGGTGAAATTAGGCCTTTTGAGGTCTGGACACATTCTGCCAAATCTGCAAGTGCTCCAAAACTCCCGGGGGCCCGAAGCCAGGGTCCTGGGGCAGGTCCCAGATGTCCACGACTGCCAGAGCGGACGCCCTGACGTGCTTTGTGGCAGTCAGGCTGGCCCCCAGGGCCTGCGGTCGGAAGAAGGAAACCTGCACTCAAAGGCTCGGAGTTCCTGGGACACAGCCCTACGGGCAGGTCCGCACTGTGTGCTTCACGATGGCGAGCAGGCCAGTTAATAGGGGCTCTGCCACCTGCGATAAGATGCTTTCCCTCTGAACTCTGTATCCCCTTCCCAAATGTTCTGGAAACTGGCATGACAGACCCTCTGTATGCTGCAGATCCAGAAATGCCCCGAGGGATGGAGCGGGGCTAAAGAAGGCAAAGGTCCATGGAGCCCAACCCCAGGAGAGACCCCCTCCCCTGCCACACACACACACACACACACACGCACACACTCACCCCTGCTTCAAGGACACAGGCAAGCCCCACAAGACCCCTCCTCACCAATCATGGTGGGTAGCATCACAGGATTAGACGGCTGAGCCCGGAACAGGAGCAGGGGCAGGCCTCTGCGGAGAGGCACTTCTGGTCTGAAGACGGCTCCATTGAGCGCCTGCAGCACAGGCAGGGTGCCCTGGACCAAGCCCACAGCCTGGTAGGGGGCACCTGTCAGGGCCACGGTCAAGAGGCCTTCCCCACAGCCCTGCTCCCCTGGCACAGCAGGGTTGTGGGAGGTGGTTACCTGCAGGGAGAAGGTAAAGAGGCACAGTTATGCCATCCTCTGTGTCCACCTAACAGCCAGTTTGTAGGGCTGCAGCCCAGTCAACACGCTCAGCAATTCGGGGCCAGAGAAGAGGGCAAATGGGCCAAGCCTAGTGCGCCTGAGCCTTCGCTTCCTGGGACCGCCAATGGCCTCCCTCGAGGGGGGGGCCAGGAGAGGTCTGCCAGGGACAGGTGGAGGCTGGGAGCCGGGAAGGAGGAGGAAGGGAGGCTGGCCTGCCCCAGAGGCCGACCCAGCCTGGCCCCCTCCTGCTCACTGCTTCCTGAACGCAGTCAGTGACCTAGTGGAGGGGGGAGCGGAGGAGGGGAAACAGGGGAGCTGGGCGGCCGGCCCATCGCTCCTGGCAGCTCGCCCTGGCTGAGAGAGGCAGCCTGTGATCTACAAGGGGAGCCAGAGGGGGAGACACCGAAGGGTCGGCGTGAGGGCAGCAGAGGCTAAGAGGACATGCTGCTAGCTTCCAGAGGGGGCGGGCTGATCAAGAGCCGGAGCACTGCGGTAAACGGAGCCCTGGATGGAGTCGGAAGCCGCGCGTGCCGCGCCGCCTCCCCGCCTCCGGCCGAGACAGCCCGGCGCCTCCTGCTCCCCAGCGGCAGAGTGCGGGTGCCACCGCCGCGCGTGCACAGCGCGCTTGCACACAAAGCACTTGCACGGGCATGTAGTTCAGGCGTAGCAACGCTCAGAGGAAGACGCTATTTCCGCTTGGCGGATGGAGAAATTCGGGCCGCTTGTCACGGCTGGGCGGTGTCAGCCGCAGGATCTGCACCCAGGGCCCCCACCCCAAGAGCAGGGCTGGGAGCCTGCTCTGAAAAGACAGGGACAGAAGGACCGTGCCGACAGGAAAGGCAAGGGGGGCAGGGGGACACGCACATTGAGGCCGGCCTCTTTCACCAGCAGCTTGGCGTTCACCAAGTTCACATCCGCCTGATGGGAAGTGTCTTTCAGGAGGCCGACAATGACCGCGGGGCTTAGGCAGTTGCCAGCGTTCTTCAGGGATGTTCCTGGGGACAGAGAAACTACCATAGGTGGCTGTTTGCTGAGCAACACAGGAACCAGCAGATCACGGACACCTAGCTTCGGGTCACGGACTCCTCACTGCCCTGGGGGCGCCAACCCCAACCAGCTCGGGGCAGTTCCGCTTCCTCTGGAAGGCAAAGAGCCAGTGACCGCCCGGTTCCCCGCCTTGTTTCCTCTGGGCATCCCCCCACCTCTGACCTGGCCTATCACAGGCAATGCCCAGGGTCTCACGGCCCCCGAGCTCCCCCCAAGTGAGCAGATGCCCAACGGGCCATAGGGAGGACAAGCCTCTACACGGTTTAGGGAACTAGAGCCTTCCCCAGTCTCTCAACTACATCTGCACAGGCTGGAGCCAGTGCAAAAGTGGCCAGAGCCTGCCCAGTCCCTGAGGACAGGCACCTCAGGCGCGGTCTTCGTTCCCGCTCTCCAGCTGAGCAGAGGCTCCCAAGGACCACCAGCTTGCCCAAGGACCAGCCTCGCTATGTCACAGAGCACAAACTGTCCCACCCTCTTGTCTAGCACAGTGCCCTGACTCTCACTTTACACGTGAAGAACCCAAAGCTCAGAGAAAGGGAAGTCACTCAGGTAAGCGACAGGGTCAAACCCAGAATCCAAGGTCTCGTCGCTTAATCTGGGACTCCCTCCACCCACCCGTTGCCTCTCCCATGAAACTCTGTCTCTCGTGGAGGTTTCTCTTGTGCCCAGAACATGCACATCTTAAAAATACTATATAAACGTGATTTGTGAAAATCACATATTTCCCAGTGATTTTCTGTACCTCTCCCCTCTGTTCCCACTGGGTAGCAACTGAACTCCATGCAGACAGAACGTGGGACATGCAGTCCCAAGGACCAGGGTCAAGTCATTTCCCAGCCCCTCACTGTCTGTGACCTGCTGCAGACACAACCCTCTTGCCCTCTCTCTGCAGTGTCCCCAGCTCACCCTGTGTTACCACCTGGATGGTCCCTTTGGGGGATCCAGCCCAGGCTCGCATCAGGGTCCCCAGAGCTTCAGCCAGACCAATCCAAGGCTTGGTATGCGGAGAGAAGGCACTCGTAAGGGCCTGGGCATTCACCTGCACAGAAAGGGGGAGCAAAGCCAAGGTCAGGAAGAGGCGGGGATCCTAAACACAGCTCCACCTAGAGAGCAGAAGGCACAGGGCCATCCTTGTTTGAGTGTCTGGGGGTTGGGAGTGTGGAGACAACTTCCATCAGCCACCAACAAGACAATGACTTGTGCCTTTAGCTTGGGAGAGCTGTAGAGCCAGAAAAGAGCACAAAAGGCTAAGACCATTGCAAATTGCCAGAAGGGGGGAAAAGGCATTTCTCCCACCTACTGAACTGTGCCTGCCTCACCCCCTCCACGGGAGACTGGGTTTTCCTGTGCTGGGGAAAGGTCTGGACAGCACAATAGGAAGGTGGGTCTCTGACGTAAGATGGATGTTGAGTCACGGATCACTGGGACCTACGGTAGGTCTCTCCAAGGTGACTTCCTTTTTACTTTATACATCAACTAAAAAAAGAAAGTGAGGGTTTACATTGTCATTAATCACTTTGACCAAACAGCAGTTTATAAAGCTGGACTAACATACTCTTAACGATCCTATCACTCTTCAAACGGCCCATGGGGAGTCCACCAGGAGGCATGCTGGGCAGCCGAGGGGGACAAAAGCCACATGTCCTTCTAAAGTTGTAAGTCTAGGGTCTGGACAGCTGGATCCCCACCAGGGGCTTGGTAACAAAGCCAGCTTGTTGCCAGTCAAAACTGCACTTCCATTTTGTGGTTCATGATGGTCTGGCTTCGAATTAAGTCTTGGCCACTTCTGTGAGTCAGCTTGTAAAGAGAACCAAAGGATCTAAGAAGGATTTAATTCGAAACACAGGGTTTGATATGAATCAAACAGGCTGCCAACGTTGGAAATGGCCACGAGGCAGGGCTTCCCAGCAGGCCCTTCTGCGTGGCCGGCCGCCTGGCTCGAGGGCTCCCACAGCGGGCTCCCCCTCTCCTCTCCAGAAGGACACAGAAAAGAGCAGCAGTGAACCAGGAGGTGGGACGAGGGCAGGCCAGCTGCTGGGAGCAGAGATGAAGGGCGGCGCGCCAGTGGGCTGGGCTGAGGCTGCAGCAGGTGGAAGCAAGTGCCCTCCAGGCAGCCCCTGGGGAACCCGCCCCGAGGTGCCCACAGCAGGTCAGGAGAACCAACGGAAGGGCTTTAAGAGTCAGGCGCCCTTGAGCACCAACCTGATCCTAATGTTCGTCTGTGTCTAAGGTTACGACAAAACTGAAATAGAGAGGATGCAGAGAAGAATTAGGGCGAGATTTCCCATGTGACACAAATGTCTTTCTTTCCAAAAGCAGGACAATCAGCCACCTTGGGTGGAGACGGAAATTTGCCCAAGTGTAACGACTTTGACCAAGAGATTTTACCTCTGCTAGAAGATGGGAACAGTCTGGTTCCATCTGATGGGGCTGGTGGGAAGGAGTCCCCTTCACGAAGAGGCCTGGAATGCCACCACTAGCTAGGGACGCCACGGTAACTCCCGAGGGCTGCATCAGTGAGGGCGGAGGCGTGCCCGGCACAGGGCCGAGGAGGGAAAGGCCCAGCCTGACTGGCCGGCACTGGTCACGGCCCAAGCCTCAGCCTCGGTCCCAGCACGTCACCTGGGGAGAGCTGCTCAGAAGCCAGAGGTGCAAAGGGAGTAAGAAAGTGTCCCCCACTCTGAGGAGCCAAGAGACGCAGAACAGAGAGGGGAGAGACACACAGATGGAGAAGCCAAGCGTTGTCATTGTCGTCGACTACCATCCTGTGGCTGCCACCAGGCGGGCGCTGAGGGGTCTTTCAGGGGAGGAGCTGCTCCCTTCCTCTCTCAGGGTATAGAAGGCAGGGTGGCCCGGAGAGCTGGCCTATCAAACCAGGGCTGGCAGGCCGAACAAAACACCCTGTGTCTCTCCTGCTGCGGTTCTGTCCTCAGCAATGAAAATCCCCAGCAGAGGGTCAGACAAGAAGGTCGGGGACTGGCCCCGGCCCTGCCCCTGCCTTGTTCGCTGCCTCTCTCCTAGAGTAGAGCCACACGAGCTGCAGAGAAGCTTACATCCTGGCTTTTTTGTCCTCAGAGAATTCGGAATATAAAGATACAAACTCAGGAAATCTTAGTAACAAGAGAGAATGTGGTTCATTGCAAAAGGGTTGACACTGGGCTAGAGAGGCCAAGCAAGTCTTTGTGAAGGGGCTGCAAGCCCCCTGAAAGACAGCTATGCTTTCCTTATTCATCTCTGTGTCCCCCAAAGAAAGGGCTATGACAGCATCGGGTACCTTCTGGAGCTTAGGGAACATCCGAAGATTAAATGAAGGAGGCAGGCCTGGAAGTGTAAGTCAGGTTAAGCTTGGGGGAGAAACATTCCAGGAAGGGCCCAGTGTGAGCTACGACAAGACGTAGGGACATTAGGCCATGATTTGAGGACAGAAAGGGGGTCTGGAGGGTTCATTCTGGGGGTGGGGATTCGCCCTGCCCAGGGGTCTAAGAAGGACACAGTAAAAGGAGCGCTCAGGTCCAGGAGGTGAGAGAGGGCCCTGACAGCCTTCTCCACAGACCAGTCCCCCAGCCGCCGCTCCCCCTGGCATCCAGCATCGCCCAAGCCACACTCCTTCACTCCCAAGGCATGTAGAGAACAAAAGAGCCTTTCTCTGGAGCCTGGAGCCTGGAAAGAGCCACAATCTCTGCAGCAAGGCTACACTGTCGCAGGGCCGAGCTGCCTCCCTGCCGCTGGGCCACAGTGAGCAAAGCTAGGGACAGGGTGGTTCTTGTCGCCCCACCCGGAGGGCTGGCTCCAGGGGAGTCCTTATCTCCTGCTCCCAGGGCTGAATCTGGTCAGCACACCACTGCTCCCCGGAACTGTCACCATCCCCCAAAACCAAACGCCCTCCCCCGCCCTGCTCCGCCCTCCGGGCCCAACCCCACTTGCCCATACTTACCACGCCCGCTAGAGATTTCCCCTTCACCATGTCCACAAACTGGATGGCGATCTCCTCCCCGCAGCGGCTCTGGGCCTCCTTGGTACTGGCGCCCAGGTGGGGGCAGCTGATGACGCTCTCGTGGTCCACCAAGGCTCGGTCCCGTGGTGGCTCCTGCCCAGAAAGAGACACCTCTCAGTTGGCTGCCCAGGGAAGTTGGAAGAGAGGAGGGCAGGGGTGAGGACGCCTTCTACTTCAGTTTTGCCAGGGACGTCACAGGTTTCGACAACCGGCTTCCTCGTCAATGTCCCTTCACAGCAGAGTAGACAGAGCTATGGATGGGATTCGCCTCTCGGCTCCCCCTGCCTTTGGGTAAATCTGCACCTCTCTGAGCCTCGACTTCCTCATCTATAAAATGGGTTAATACTAGCCACCTTATAATACCTTGTGCAGATTGCACACCAGTAACACAGGAGGTTCTCAGCCAGTGGAAGCTACTGTTTCTGTTACCGGTTTTTCCCTCAAACCCCACCTCGCCCCTGAATCCTTCCAGCACTCACGGTTGGCTCCGCATGGCATCAGACTCTTTGCAGGCCCTCTGCACAGCTGTCCCGACCTGGCTCTCAGCACGACAGGTGGGCCACCTGAGCACCTCTGCCCACCCTCCAATGTCCTTTCCACCCCTTCTGCTCGCTGAGCATAAGGTACTGCCCTTGGGAAGGTCACTCAGGCCCCTTCTCTGGCCACCTGGGCCTGTGAGTAGCAAGTGCCAAGAGAAGACCAGAGACAGACAGGGGAAGGCGCGGAGCTGGGGAATGGCCGTACAATGAGGGCCAGGCGCCCATCTGCCTTCAGGAAGCGTCCCATCTATGTGAGAAAGAGGACCAGGAGTACCAACCCCATGAGCTGTGTGCTCTGGGCAGGGCATACACAGTGAGGGCACCAGGGCTCAGAGAGGGCCGGGGACTTGCCAAGGCCCCACTGCAGGTCACCAGCAACCCCCCCCCCCGCCACGGCTTGAGCCAAAATCCCTGCTCTTTCCCTTGGATCTGTGATGCCAGTGGCAGGACTTTTAAGAGAGGCCAAGAGCACTGGAGTGGAAATGCGCTGTCCATCATTCCATCTGGTGTACGAGCAGGTGGGGGGATGGGGGTGAGCAAAGACAGAGTCTCCGGCTCCGACAGAGAGGCAGGGGGAGCAGCCCACACAGGACACAAGGGAACGCTTCTAGCCGTTGTCCTCAGGCTGCCTTTCCTCCCCAGAAGAAAGGAAGGCAGGGAAAGCCAACAGACACTGCGTGAAATGTCTTCTTGGCAATGGGATTCATTTCAGCAAAGACCTGTATCAGTACATTAAATGCTGCCCCAAATCCTCAACCTCAGAACGGACGGGTTTGCTGCGCCGTCCTCCCTGGAGTTATCCACATGACAGCAGGCCAGGGAGCCTGAGACCAGGAATTGGGTCCTATTTGAAATCTGGGTTTTGCAAAAGACAACATGGCTGCCTCCACAGTACGGCCCGCAAGGGCTCCCGAAACCACAGTGGCGTTATTTTTGGCAACAGAATTTCTCCTGTTTGCCATGGATGCTAGAGCCCTTAAGCCAGAGGCCTTTGTGCACACTGGGCTTTCTCGGTCCTGGGCCCCTCTGCCCAGCGCTCCCCTCCTCCCCCAGGCACTCACCTCTGTAAAGACGTCCAGCGCAGCACCAGCGCACCGACCGGACTGCAGGGCCCGGAGCAGGGCCCCCTCGTCCACGATCCCTCCCCGAGCGCAGTTCACCACGCGCACCCCCTTCTTGCACTGGGCAAAGGTGCTGTCGTTCAGCAGGCCTGGAAGGAGGGAAGAGCTCTCCTGCAGCACCAGAGGCCCTCCCCGCCTCGCCCTGGCTCCTCCCCCACAGGCCCACGGCCTCTCTGGCCTCACCTCTCCCTTCTCACCGGCTCTGCGGCAAGAGTCCCCGTTCTGGATTTAGACCAAACACAGTTCAGAAACATCCTAGCAGCCCCTGAGGTGTTAGTGCTTTGAATAGGTCCCAGAACCAGAAAGGGAAGCAGCGGCCCCAGGAAGAAACCATGGGGTCACTGGTCGTGCACATCGGGCCAGCTCACCCCACGCATTTCCAGCTAGCTCATCCCTCCTCCGTGTGGGGCAGGGCCAGCCAGCCAAGCATCACTCTGTGCTCGAGGGACCTAGTCCCCAGCGTGTGCGGAAGGCCCAGACCGAGGGCCCACCCTTATCTGGTCTGTGGCTTCTGTGGCCGACCCACAAGCAGGGATACACCTACCTGTGGTGGAGGGCAGGAGAGGTGTGTGCACGGTGATAAAGTCGCAGAGAGGCCAGATCTCCTCCAGGGGCAGCTGCTGGACACCAAAGGAGGCCGAGACCTCCGGCGCGATGATGGGGTCGTACCCTACAGTCTGGTCAGAAGCAAGAAAGAGACAAAGACACGAGCGAATGTCACTGTCCCTTATTAGTACTGGTATTATTAATAATGGTGGCCATTTATTGAACACCTACCAAGCGCTACTGCTAAGCCTTTCCAAATGCAGCTGACCTCTCACAGTAAGGGTTGCTACTCTTCTCCTTTAGAGATGAAGAAAGTGGGGCTCACACATTAGGAGGGGCAGGCCCAAGTGCGAAGGGAGGTTTACCTCCAAGCTCTTAACCACGAACGGATGCAAGAGCAGCATGTGCGCGTGCTTGCACGTGCTTGCGCGCGCGTGTGCGCATGTGTGAGGTTGGATAAGTTGGAGCTCAGAAACCCTTAGCGAGCAGGGAGCCCAGGAGAGGCAGGACAGCCGTGTGGGGAGCGGTGACGTGCTCATAGGGTACGACGAGGCAAGGGAGGGCAGGCTGGCCGCAGCCAAGGACCCTCAAGGCCAGAAAACAGGCAGGGGCCCTGACTACTTCCACAGAGTGAGAAAGAAACAGGTGGGGGCAGGGGTGCAGAGCAGGGTTAGCAAGGAGACCAAGACCGGTTGCTGGGGAGGGGGGTTGCTGAGGCATCAGCGGGCAGAGTCTGGTCCCCTCCTGAAGTTCCTTTTAATAAGGCTTCAAATGCATCTAGTCTTGGAAGGCCTAACTTGGTGACTAACCACACAGATCCTTTCAATAAGGCAGGTTTGACGGGGATGGGGAGCGAGCACATCAAGAGGAGGGAAAAGTGAGGCATAAAGGCACCATGGATGGGGAAGGACCCAGAAAGGACCTTCTTCTGGGCTGGCGGGGGAGGAGAGGGTCCCCAAATCAGAGGGACCTCTCCGAGGCTGCCGAAAAGGGAGGGAGATAGGGAGGCAGGCAGCGAACTCTAGGGGTACAAACTACATCAGCCTCATGAAACTTGCCAAAGGTCATCAGATACTGGTGAGGGCAAGAAGGAAAGTCAGAGAAGACAAAGCTCAGAAGAAAGAAGAAAGGACGCATTGTCATAGCTAATAACGGCAAACATTCCTTTAGCATTTACTGTGTCAGGGGCTTTCAACCCAGACCCAATGGATTAGGCACTAGGATTTCCCCGTTTTACAGATGAGGAAACTAAGGCAGAGAGGTGAAACGATTTAGCCAAGGTCACACAGCTGGCAGATGGTCGAGCGGGGACAAGAACCAGTGTTTGGATTCGAGAGCCTGCACCCCAAGTGCCCATCCTTCTAATGTGGGGTGAGGTCAGGACCCTCCCAACCCCACCTGAGAAAACAGGAGTGGAGTAGATGGAAACAGTCTTGGGTGCCAGTCACACATCTCCTTGGCAAGGGCAAGGCATTAGAGATTACCAAGCCTGTACCAGCAGCTGGGAAGAATCCGTAACCAGCCAGGAAGCATCTACCTCTGGTCACTGCAAAGACTTAATCCACTTTCTATGTGGTCTACCCGGGAGGTCTGCCCAGGGCTCTCTCCATCAGCTTGGTCCAGGTCACCAGCACTGACTGGGGGGAAAGAGGTGTAGGAGCCATAACCAACTCAAAGGCATCAATGTCCTCAAGAAGGCAGGAAAGCCAACTGATCTAGACAGACCTTCAGGTGCCAAGGTACAGATGCTGAACCAGGAGGCCCGGACCTGGGTCCTCAGTCTGAAGTAAAGGAGTTGGCTGGATGATTTCAAAGTCATCCCCTGCGCCAACACTCAGCAATTCAATAATTCCTTGAAAAGACAGTTCCCTTAACCCTGAAAAGTTACAGGTGAACCCAAGAATGCTCAGAGGTGGCCGGGGATTGAACAACAACAAACAAACACAACAGAAAGTGTGATACTCTAAGTGTGGTCATTTCTGTGTGGTGGAATTCATTTTTTCCTCCTTTAGGCTTTCCTATGCTTTGCAACATTTCCCCTGCTCACCCTGAATTTCTTTGCGGGGGAAGAGAAAAGTCATCTTAGAAATAATGGCATCTTGGGGGCACCTGGGTGGCTCAGTCGGTTAAGCGACTGCCTTCGGCTCAGGTCATGATCCTGGAGTCCCGGGATCGAGTCCCACATCGGGCTCCCTGCTCGGCAGGGAGTCTGCTTCTCCCTCTGACCCTCCTCCCTCTCATGCTCTCTGTCTCTCATTCTCTCTCTCGCAAATAAATAAAATCTTAAAAAAAAAAAAAAAGAAAAAGAAAATAATGGCATCTTAAGAGGATTTCTATGTAAAATTCAGCCCTTCCAGAGAAGAAACGGACATGGTTATGAATGAGGTAGAGCTTTCGGATCACATTTTTCATCATCAGCCTGAGGAACAGGGAAAAGGCAAGGTGGAGGTTTAGGGGGAGAGGCTGTAGGATCACAGGCTCATGACCACCACAGTCCCAACAGCCATTCCCCTCGGCTGTAACCTACTCGTTTTGGCAGGGACAATTAAGTGTCCAGGGAAGGAGAGAGGGCCCCAGGATCCCTGCCCGTACTCTTCCAAGTCCTCTTTGTCCACCAGCTACTCGGAGGCCACTTGGAACAACGGCCCCGTTCATCTCTAATCCAGATGTACTTTGTTCATGTGAGCGGGGAGTGGAGGCGAACACCAGCAGAGGTCACAAAGCCGAGCCCAATGGAGGCCAGTCCACACTACTCTGGGGCTTCCGGGCTCTCAGGAGCCAAGAAACAGCATGGAGCCATGGGGAGGAAGGGTCCCGAGGGCTGAGCCGGGCCCAGTGGCCCTATGGCGGGTGCCTGCAGCTAATGGGGAGCAGATGGGGCAGGAGGAGATGTGCATCCCCCACAGTGGTCAACAGGATCTGACTCAGCTTGCTTTCTCTCGTTCACCTGCAGACAACTGCAGGGAAGAATTTGGCTGAGAAAACTGTTTCCATTTTTCACTGGAGATACCCAGGGCAGATGGGAGCTGAACTCAGCTAGGAGTCAGGATTCTTACACCAGGAGACCATGTCACGGGGAGTAGAAAGAGTAACATTGGGCCCAGGAGACCAGTGTCTGAGTAGGGTCCTGACATGTCCCAGAAAGGGTCAGAAGTCCCGATGCGCAGAAGTTGGAGCAATTCCAGGTACGTACCGTCCGAAGACTATTCCTGTAGAGGAGCCTCAGGGAGACCCACGAAGGGGTTCCCCACCTGAATCCTAGCCTCAGGACAGACTCCTGATGCTGGGCAGCAGGGGAACCCTAGCTTTTCCAGGAGTACTCAAGGGCCACCTCCTAGCTGGTGTGAGAAGGCAGCCTAGAGAGGCCGACCACAACTACGCTGGGCCCTCTGGCTTAGCAGTAGATGCTGGAGAACGAGGGGGCCTTCACAGTCAAGGGTCTCCAACAAAGGAGCCTAACCATCATTTGGCTTAGTATCAGAACTCTCTTTCCTTTGCACAATGAAATCTTAAACAGAAACCACATTCCTAAGGTACTTTCTAGAACTTGAGGCTCTGTGAAGAACGTAAAAAATCAGTACTCTAGGGCAGTAGGAATTCCAGTTACCAGAATGAGATAGGAGCTGCCTGTCCTGGGGAGCTTTTGTCCTGAGAAAAGTCGAGCACAGTGACCGTTTAACCAACACGGATCAGGAACGAAGACAGTGGTGGTGATGCAGGACAAAGGGTACCAGACTGGAGGTCAGGAGACCCGGACTTTAAGCTGTACTCCATCATTTACCAGTCCTATTATCTTGAACCTATCATGTAAGTGTCCTGGGCCTCAGTTTCCTTATCTGTAAACCTGAGGTAAGGATACTGACCCCACAAGAGTCATTGTGAGCACAGCATCTGACACAGCAGACCTCAGTCAACATGAGCTGGGCCTGAAAGAGTCAGTGACACCTGGCACCTCAGGTTCAATGTCCATTCCTCCAGACTAACTTCAGATTCATCACAACACTGGCCACAAAGAAACTGCTGGCCTGCTCCTCATAGAAAACCCTGGCAAAAGAGTGCAAGGCTCAGCTCCTGGCTGGCTTGGGCCTGCTAGCACATTCTGGGGGACATGCGAGCGTGAGTGAGTTGTGTCTCCAAAGTGTACAACCTGTTCTTCAACAACATGATCGAGAAAAACTTTGGGCAGAAGGAACACCATAGTGCCTAAGACTCAGATGACTCAGACCATTAGCAGGCCACAGACTGCCGGAATTCTCTGGAAACCCACATCTGGGCCATGTGGTTCAGAGCAAGTCAGCAGGTGCTCTCAGGTGGCACATGAAGATCCCTTTCCAGGGGCGCCTGGGTGGCTCAGTCGGTTGAGCGACTGCCTTCGGCTCAGGTCATGATCCCGGAGTCCCGGGATCGAGTCCCGCATCGGGCTCCCTGCTCGGCAGGGAGTCTGCTAAAAAAAAAAAAAAAAAAAAAAAAAAAAGAAAAGATCCCTTTCCAGGCCTGTGCTGGTTGGGAGGGGCAGCCTCGGTGGGCTCTCCCCCAGCCAACTCCAACACGCACACCCTAGATGCTGTTGGGAAGCCGGGTGGCTAGACCAGATAGTGACAAAGAAAGGACAGGAAAGGTAAGGGGGGCATCCATCCCCAACATCTGAGCACAAAAGTGTCTCCGCCGATCACTCCTGTGGCACGAAGGGGTCAACTCTTAAATCGCGATACTCTGGAAGGGGTTGGATGCTGATCATCCATTAATAGCCTCATTAGTGATTAACAACCTGAGTGACAGATTAAAGCACAGGGTAAGACCCCAGGACCAGGGAGGGAAGGGGGTGACGAGGATGATCTTCACATGCTTTGCAGCGCCGCCCGAGCTGCCCAACTGGAACCACTCAGGGTCCCCTATGCCTCCTGGTCCACACTCTGTCTTTAATTACAGGGTTCTCCCAAGTTACTGTAACAAACCACAGTCCTTAATAATGTTGCTCAATTTCCTATGGTCGCTCAGTGAACTCACTGCTAAAGACCATTTCACAGATAAAGAAACTCGTGGCCCACGGGTAATGGGTGCTCGGAGATATCAGAGCTTTAAAGGCCACCTGCTTCTACCTCCCTGCCAGTGTTCACACCTTGTCCTCACACACTGGCCCAGTGCTCACCCAGTCTCCTGTGGGTGTCTGCAGGAGTGGGACACTCGCTCTCCCCCATTGAATCTGGGGCCAGCTCAGGCTGTAGTTCTGTCCCCTCTGCCTTGTACCTGTTGGTCCTCCTTGGATCCACTCTTTAGACAGCATGACTCTTCTACAGACTGCCCGTTAGCTATTTGACGGCCTTCTGGTATGCCTCCCAAGTCATGATGGGGCTCAATGACCCCAGTGCCTTCAAGCCTTTCTTAGGAAGTACAGACATGAGCCTCTCACCATCATCCTCTACCTCTATCTCCAGAGCTTTCAGTCTCACAGAGCATGTGAGGGTCTGACTGGTACAGAGCATGAGGAATCTCACCTTCCTTGTTCTGGAAGCCATAGTTCTTTTAATGCTGCCAAAAGTCACATTACCTTTTCTATCAGCCATGCCACTGTTAACCACACTGCATTTTTGTCAACCAAAGGTCCCCTGCCTTGGGAAAGCTTTTTAACAACACTTCTACATCCAATATGTGTTTAGTTGCTTTGGGGCTCATTTTAGGGCACTGATAGGGATTCTAGCTAAACTTCCTATTAGGATGCCCAACCATTCTAGCCTTCCTTTGTCTTTTAGGATCTGATTCCACACTCTTAAAAGTTAGCCACCTCTCCCTGCTTCCTGTCACCCAGGCCGTTGATGAGAACCATGGAGAAGGCAGCGCCCTGCACCATCCTGTACCATCTCCCTCCAGATTGAGACGGAGCTATCCTTCAACCAGTTACTAAACCTTTTAGCACCAAGCTCACAGTCTCCATCTTAACCCCAAGGGTATCCTAAAAGATCTCACCAATGTCTTACTGAAGTTCACATTTCCAATGTCCATCCTTGAGGAAATGGTCAAATAAAAAGCAATTTGTCCACACAACAGAATTCCATGCAATAGTTTACAAATATGGTAAATTTATTTATTCCAAGACATACATTTTTATCTTAACACCATGTACAATGTTCTATTTTCTATAGGCATAGAATCCCTCTATAGGCCAAGAACTGTATGCATTCCATGTAAACGCATAGAAAAAAGTCTGAGATGATACACACCAAACCGATGTTACCTGTGAGACCAGGTGGTAATCAAGGAGATAAGGATCTATATTTCAAGATACGTGAGGATTCATTCACCTCTTACATGATTAAAATACAATTTTAAATCGTCCAGATATAAGACACTTAAGGATGTTCCTGATCAATCAGTCTAATATCGGTTTCCAAAGAGAGAACAAGGCCAGTTTAAAACAACCTGTGTTTAGTAAACACTGATCATTGTTTCCTTCCCGGATGCTGATAAACCATCTCTTTCACAATTTGTTCAAGAATCTAAATCTTGCTCTTCCCAGCTGCTCAAACATCAACCAAGGAGCTTTGGATGATGCAGGTCAGTCATCTGCACCAAGGCAAAATTCATCTGGACCCAGAAATAGGTTAGGAAGCTCAGTCAAAGTGAGCCGAGAATATAAATGAAGGCCATTTGGGCCACTCTGAAATGACCAGGGCAGCTGGCCAGGGCCGGGGGGCTTGGGGGGGGGGTGACCACTCCAAGGCATGTTTTAGCAGTTTACAAAGATCATGTGCCAGAAGCAAGACAGCCTACAGTGACCCTCCGGAGACAGCCGGGCAGAAGAACCCTCAAGGGAAGCAGCGACGTGCTGTGACAGGCAAAACCACCCACACCCTCAAAGCCTCGCTGGGAACGTGGGCGTGTCATGCGTGGTCTGTCAGGACGCACGGATTCACATTCATGAGCAAGCTCTGGACATCTCTGAATCAAACACATGCCCGAGGGCTCAGGGTCCACCTCCCTCGTGCCTCTCGGAAGCAGCCCGGCAGCAGCTGAGAAGCTGAGCCCGGGCCAAATGAGCAGAGAAGCTTACCAATCACTTCCATGACTCAGGAAATGAGGTGGGGCTTTCTGTTTGGGTAAGTCACTGCCCCAAAGTTTCAAGTCCATGATAACCAAGGCTCCTGAGCTAGCAGAGACCGGTGTGCTTTGGTGTCCTAGGGAACCATGGGGAAGGGGACGAACAGCCTTCCTGAAGTCTCTGTATCATCAGTGAGGCACTCACCTGTTTGGCTATTTCACTCTGAGTCATACTTAACCCAAGGCCACTGCTTTTAGAGGATCAGAATTGTCTGTGAGCTAAGCCTTAATCCCTCACAAAAGAGGAAGAGAAAGCGCTTCTTGCCGCGTATGGCACCTGGCCAGCCCTGCACAGGAGGGCAAGGCTTTGGTTTGTTCTCATGATCAGTGGATCCTGCCGGGCCCCCGCCCCCTCTCCAGGGATCTAGAAAAATGTGCTGAGGCTTAGGAAAGAGGTCTGGCTGGTGTAAATAAATGTGGTGGGGGAACAGGGACAGCAGGGAGAGGAAGATGTTCAATGTGGTATCACGGGATGCCCACCTGGGTTCTTGTCTACCTTCCATTTGCTGGAGGCCTGAGCAAAAACAAACTCCAGACATCAATATAAAATTAAGGGTTCATCTCTAAGGTTCCTTTTAACTCTATGAAGCCAGGGGGACATGGAGAAAGGGAGGAAGAAGGAGAAAAAGGGAAAATGCCATCGCAGCTCTATGTCAATTTTTCTAGAAATGATCTGATTGTCAAAACTATTCTCCTTTCTGTTTAATGAAAGCCTTCCTGGCAGCAGTTTGAACACATCATGCTCCTAACAGCAAACAGCGAACAAAGAGTGAACAAGGAGACGTCCACGAGCACTCCTGGCCACCCTGTCACCTGCCCTGACGGGTCCCCTCCTGTGGCTCGGTGGCCTCCCCCTTTGCAAGGTGTCCTGGATCCGCCTCAGGGGATGACAACCCTCCCTCGACCAGAAGAACCACGGAGTTTCCAGAATAGGATGAAACCGGGTCCTGGAGGGAAACAGGGGTCAGGGAGGGTTTCTGAGCACTATGCAAGGTGTTCTAGCCAGCAGGCTTTAACTTCATCTCGGCAGCGTCTAGACAATCACCACACCGTCCCTTCTGCACTACGGAGCAGAGCTAAAAGGTGGATAGAGACTTGCTCTGCTAGAAGGTTGCAAATTTCCTCCTGTTTCTCTGAATTATTACAGGCAACAGACACAGCCAATCAAAGAGCCCCTGTGGCAGGGGAGGAAAAGTTGAGCAGGATGCATGACCCCGCCGCTCCGCTGGGACCCAGAGCTGACGGACCTCCACCAAGCGTGCCCAGACTTTGAGTTCAGGTATCCAGAATGGCTACCCTGCCGACTTAGTCAGGGGCTCTAAAAGAGGGTCAGACCCTCCGAGGACAAAGCCTTCACCTTCTCTCAAGCAAAGCTGCCTCTCCCAAAACTGCTACAGGGAGCCCCACGTCAAAGGGGTTCACCAACCTCTTACCTTCATTCCAAAGGACTGCATCCGGGTGGCCACTTCTCTCCCAATTCTGCCCAGGCCAAGAATTCCCAGGATCTTTCCATTTAGCTCTGTTCCCATGAACTGCAACCAAAAAAGCAAAAGGCAAAGTGGCCGAATTAAGCACCAGGAACCCGGGCGCCGAGCCGGGCGGGACGAGGCAGGGCTGGCCGCTCACCTTCTTCCGTTCCCATTTGCCGTCCTTCATGGAAGCCGTCGCCTGGGGAATCTGCCTGCAAGGACAGACACGGGCTCAGTGGGCCCATGCAGAAGGCGTGTGATGTGAGGTCTGCACAGCTGCCCCCTCTAATGGTCATTCCCCCGGGGAACCAAGCTCAGGCTGGGTCTGGAGCTCAGGTGCAGAGACACCGAGGAGGGTCAAGGGAGTTCAGCAGAGGGAAATCCGTCAGCGAGACCTGATGTGGGAACCCCAGGATTTCTGTCTCCAGCTAGGAGTCTGATTTCTGTCTCCAGCTGCCTCAACCAGCTGAATGGCTCCAGGCTGGTAAAAAGCAAGCGCCAATCCTCCGGGGCTCATAGGGATAACGAAATGGGGTATCGAGGGGCTCGGATAACATCAAGTGCTCCAGAAGTTCAAGGATTTTCGTTTTCCTCTTCCATCCAAGGCTGCAACCCATACCTTCCACTGTATCAGTGAACAGCTGGGTACTTATTCTTCCTTGAGAGTTTCTTAAGCCCTAGCCGTCTCAGGCTAGACTGGGATGGGTGGGTGCCAAGTCCATACCACCTCCTGTCCCAAACCACCCCCCCCCAGCCTATCTCCTCCTCTTGGTTAACTTGGTTAACATGGGGTGTTTTCTGGAAAGGACAGAGGAAGTTAGGGCAGAGTCAGAGGTGAGAGGATAAGAGTATGTCATATGGGAGGTGGTCACCCAGGCTTCTCTGGAAGCGAAGAAGGGAGACAGAAAACAATGTTTAGAATGTTTAAGGAGTCCCTGCTCTAGTTTAGACACTCCATGAGAAATGCTTAGACACGCTTTAGCACATGTCATGCTCACCCCAACTGCATGGAGAGAGACAACCGGGGGGTTCAACACCTTGAACAGCATCATCCCACGCGGAATAGCTGAACGGACTCAAAGCCCAGCACATCCCCAGCACAGTCAGCCTTCTAAGTATTTAAATGCAGTCTTTCCTGCTGGCCACAAAACTCAGAGTGGTGTGTGTGTGCACGCGAGTGTGTGTGTGCATGTGTAAGGAGGGAGAGACTCCAACATACTGTTCCTGTAGCTCCATCTCACCGAGTTCTTATAAGAAAACATTCTCTTGTGTCTACACACTGCCAGCACACGCTTCCATCTGAGGGTCAGGTTGAGGGGTGATCTGTGCTCCTGCGATCTCACGGGCAAACTCCTAAAGCTTCAGTAACAAGCCTTGTGGGCAAGAAGCTCCATCCTGCTCCTCTGGCCCGTCAGTCCTCAGGAGAGGGTCCTTGTGTCAGGAATGTCCCAAGGACAATGACTTGCCTCGAGGAAGGGCTACCTTCTCAGCAAAGCTAGCCTGCTCCTATGCCTCCGACCAAGTGAGACAGAGCCCACCTGCCTCCTCCCAGGTCTGGCTCACGTCCTGCTCTCCACCCTCCTGGCCCCACAGTGCCATCCGAGAGAGGGCACGCGGCCCTGGAGATCCCAGCCCCCACCAGCTGCTCTACCAGCTACTCACGGATCCTCTCCAGCCTTTAGCACTTTGGGGTCCTCACCGGGCCAGTCTGGGGAGGACCATGATGTGGGCGAGGGGCTTCCCGAGAACCAAATGGTAGCCATCCTGACTTACAAAAAGAGAAGGTAAAGTGGGCAAGATGAAAGCTATGCAGGCCGCATTCTCTTCTCTTTCTTTCTGTGTCACTGTTCTTCCCCTGCACCTCAGGAGCTCCTGCCGTCTGTTCAAAGTCCCCCAGTGTGAGGCCCGTCCAGGCCCCCTCTCTCCACCCACATTGCTCAATGCTCCCAACCTTCTGTCCACAGCACCCACTCTGCCCTCACTGCCCTGCTGGAAAAGCAGTCTGAGCAGACACACAAGAAGGTATGAGAGACTGGCCATGCTTCCTTATTAGAGTGCTTAGTTCTTAATTTTGATGCATCTTTGATGGTGAGGTCGTTGGATGAGAGGTTGGAAACGGGGCACTTCCTTGAAATCACTCCACTTTACCTATTCTTTTTTTTTTTAAGATTTTATTTATTTGTCAGAGAGAGCGAGAGAGCACAAGCATGGGGCCGAAGCAGAGGCAGAGGGAGAAACAGACTCCCCGCTGAGCAGGAAGCCCAATGTGGTGCTCGATCCCAGGACCCTGGATCATGACCTGAGCCAAAGGCAGACGCTTAACTGACTGAGCCACCCAGGCACCCCCTTTACCTATTCTCTTAAATAAAGCTGGTCTTGGAATAGGAGAAAAATTATTCCTGGCTCCCAAGCCCTTCCTTCCACCTCCAGAAAAAGAGTAAGAGAATTAATTAACTAGAAAGCTGATCAGTCCCTCACTCAAAAACAAAAACAAAAACACCACTGAATTTAACAGCACAAGTGAAAACAGGGCTTGAGGCTTCTCCAGGGGAAATGAGTCCAGCCCAGATGTTCTGGAAGATCCAGACAGCCAGCTCACAGACCCCTTCCAGGCTAGGTCCCTTTGGCTGCGCACGCTGTCCCTGTTCCTCCCTTTCTCCAGTCTCCTCTGCTCTTCAATGGCCAGTGAGTAGCAATGAATACTTAAGAGCTCAGGTAGAAATCATGAGGAAGAGTTAGAACAAAGGTCAACTCCTCCAGACCCTGTCCCAGAAGAAGAGAGAACAAGTCTTGAGAGGGGAAAAGAGTAATTTCTGGGCCCCAGAAGCTTCAGGCCTGAGTAGAGAAATAAAGAGTCTTGGCTGCCTGGGTCCCCTGGTTTAAGGATCCAAGGGTGTGTGAAGGGACCTAGTGAACTCCCTGCCCTGTCCATTGGCTCCTTCCTCTCCCCCCTGACCACAGAAGTGCCCGAATTGCCTATTCAACAACAGTACTCAATACAATCATTCTACTACCCAATACAGGAAGATTCATGCCCATTCTGTGCTGTATCCAGTGGTTCCTAGGCTGTCCCCTCTACTCAAGAGGCCCACACCCCCAGAATTTCTGCTGGAAGAGCAAGACATTTTGATCATTTGAATTCCCTTGTGTTAAGAATCCACAGGTAGGGACACCTGAGTGGCTCAGTTGGTTAAGCGTCTGCCTTCCAGGTCATGATCCCAGGGTCCTGGGATGGAGTCCTGCATCGGATTCCTTGCTCAGCGGGGAGCCTGCTTCTCCCTCTGCCTGCTGCTCTCCTTGCTTGTGCTCTCTCTCTGACAAATAAATAAATAAAATCTTAAAAAAAAAATCCACAAGTAGATAGAGCTTTTACTCCCTTCTATCACAATAAAGATCTGTAAGCCTAGTACAGAGGTAAGCCCTGGGGGCCAGGGCAATCAGTGAGGGACACAGCACAGCCAGGGAATCAAGAGAGAGCTTCTCAGATGAATTAACACTTGAGCTTAATCTTGAAGAATAAGAGTTACCTGGATAAAGATGATAGGGAAGACTTTAGTTAAAAGTTATCTATCGATATCTCAATATCAGTTCACTGATTGTGATCAAAGCACCATATTAATGTCCCATGTTAATAATAGGAAGACTGGGTATGAAGTATATGGGTCCTTCTACTATCTTTACAACTTTTCTTTATATCTAAAACTCCTAAAATAAAAAGTTTGTTAAAAAATCCCCATGCCAAGTTTCACGCCTTACCGATCAAATAAGAATCTCTGGAGCGCGGGCCAGGCATTAGTATTTTTTTAAGATCCCAGATGATATCAATGTGCAACAAAGTCTGGGAACCTCTGGGTTATGAGAGGTCTCTGAGGTATGGAGGCTGTTACATTTTGGCATTAATTCACTCAAAAATGTTCCGAACTAAATAAAAATGTTGAGCGCTGCTTCTATTTTATACCTATGTGCAGTTGGATTTTTAATAATGAGTGTGATAAAAATAAAATACCGGAAAGACTCAGAAAAAAAAAGATGATGGGGAAGGATATTCCAGGGAGCAGAACCGCATTTTCGAGGCTTAGAGGTTCGAGAAGCCAGAGGATGGTGTGGACCACAGGAAATGACTAAGGAGGAGGGGAAGACGGCACACAGTTATTTTCTCAATGAGCCTGCTCCGGGTAAGGAGCAGCCAAGCTGAATGCCCATCCCCTTCCGGGCCCCTTGGCGAGAAGCCACCTGAACTCTGTGTGCCAGAACCAGTGTATCAAATGTTTCATAAAGGATGGGTGCCCTTGAAGGTTCTCGGCAGTGTGCACGGTGCCCTGCAGAAGTTTTCTACCCTTCTCCGGGTCACTTTGTTTGGGGAGTCATAACCACGGACACACCAGAGGCTGGCTCTGCTGAGAAGACAGGGACTTACCTGGCCAGGCACATGATCATCCCGCAGGTGAGCTCCGCAGCACTGAGGCTATTCCCATTGGGGGTGCTAAAGATGGAAGAAGGGAGGGGACGTCAGTGGATCCAGACCCATATGCCTACTCCTGTCCCAACGGAAAGCCCGGAGTGTGAAGCGCTCACTCTCCTGCCCCCTCAGCTCACCTGCTCTTAAAACCAACCCCCCAACCCCATGCCTCCCACCTGGGCTCTCTGATGGACTCCTGCCCAATCCCAGGGCTAGAGGGAAACCCCCCTGCCCTGGCTTTATGCTTTCACGAGGAGGGACTTCAGTTGGAGGGACACACCTGGCCTCTCTACCCAAGCTCTTCTCCCAAGGCAGAGAAGTGTCTCGCTCGATTGGAAGATATATGTGTGGCTCCGCATTTCTCTCTCCTCTCGTTTCAGGATCTACCTGCCTCCGGGAAGCACGGATTCCCGCTGCTCTGTGCCACCACTCTTCCTGAGACTGTGACCAAGATGGGTGATCACGCAAGCCTATCAAATTCAGGTCAGCCCACTGCCCACACAGCTTCATCAAGCTGCCCAGCCCGGCTTCTGTCAGTAACAAAGCTAGGATTTTTTTCTCCACCTGTTTGACTTCTCCTATCTCTTCACACGTTCTGAAGTGAGACAGCTTCCTCACACCTTAATGCACAGGGCCATGCTGACTCGGCCCATTTCACAGAAAGGAGAATAGAGCTGAAACCCATAGAACTATTCTTCTTTTCTCAAAGACTCTTTTTTTGATTTTTGGCTTTGGAAAAATTTATTAGCACCCATGTTCACCTTCCTTTTTCCTCTATTGGATCTTTTCATCTCTAGAAATGAAGATGACAAGGAGGGAAAAGTCAAGAGATCTTATCGCACCCCCCCCCCAAAAAAAGTCAAGAGAAAAGGATTCTCAGAGTCTGTCTTTCCTTCTAGTTTCTGATCTAACCCTGCAAACAGGCTGTACTGGGATGTAGGAGGGGGTGCAGGGCAGGGGGCGATGCCTCCGTGTCCAGGGCAAGAATGTAGGATGCGTTACCATTTAACATTTCTTCTGTTGGATATTGACCTCCGTCAGATGACCAATTAACCCCTGCACTATAGGAGAAGTGAAGGGAAGGGAGAGGAAGGTTTTGAGGACACCAAACTTCCCAAGGGAAGGGAAAAGGCTTGGGGATGAAGAAGCGGGCGACAATCACCTTGCCACACTATCTAAGTGCCAGACGGGGGCCAGAAGCAAGTGTGGCCGAGTCCTGGCGTGCAGTCATGACCTCTGCACTGAGTTTCTGCAAAAACAGCTCTAGCGGGGACGCTTTCCCTCTCGGCACTGGAGTGTGAAAGAGAAACTAGGGTTCCTGGCTGCAGAAGGGTGCCGGGCAGGGAGGAAGGGAAAGAATGTAGAGCCACTCAACTAGCAAAGGCTGTGCACCTGCAGAGGGGGGACCGAGCAAAGCAGAGCTAACGAACATCCAGTTCCAGCCAGAACGACGGAGGGAAAGGGGCAGCACTGGGGCAGGAAAGGCAGATAAATTCGCTAACATTCCTCTGATTCCCAACCAGGCTGTGCTTCAGACGTCCGTGGAGTGGGTTTGTGAAGTGACCCGAGATTACAACAAGAGCCTCCTTGTCAAGAACCTAGGGAACCACGACGCTGTGAGCGCGGACCGCCTGTCTGGACTCGGCCTGGTCCAGGCATCCTTCTGGAAGCCCATCCTACTCTGACCCAGCCTTCTCTAACCTAAGTTTTCCTCTCCCCCTGTGTGGTGAGGCCCCACCCCCCCACCCCCGGGGCTCCACGACGTACTTCATGACCAGAACGCCCTTCCTGGTGGCAGCCTCCAGGTCCACGTTGTCCACGCCCGTGCCGGCCCTGCCCACCACTTGGAGCTTCTCTGCCGCGTTGATGACATCAGCAGTCACCTTGGTGGCTGAGCGGACGATGAGGCCTTCACAGTCCTGAAACAGAAGAAACATCTGGGTCCACAGTTGGTCCTCAAGACCTCCTAGCACCTCTTTGCCCAAAGGGGGAGTTCCTGCATGCTGGCTGAGTTTGGATAGCTTCAGAGAGAGGAAGCTGATAGCATCCCCATCCGGAAGGGGCTACCAGCCGGTAGGCCTGGGGTCAAATCCAAGCTCCATCCCCCATGAGCTACGAATCTGAGACTTGGCCTCCTCAAGTGTGTGAGGGGAAGTGAGAAAGGACAGGTACAGCCTCCGACATGCTCCCTGGCTCTGCTCAATGGCCAGCACCTCCACCATCGGACATGGTGCTGCTGAAGGGGGACTGAATTCTACTTTGTAAGCCCCAGTGACTGGCACACGGAAGGCGCTCGGTAAGTGCTAGCTGGCTGAATGACTAAGACGTGAACTAACGACAAACTGTTGAAAGAAAGACATTTCCTAAAATAGAGACCAAGGGGCGCCTGGGTGGCTCAGTCGTTAAGCGTCTGCCTTCGGCTCAGGTCATGGTCCCAGGGTCCTGGGATCGAGCCCCGCATCGGGCTCCCTGCTCCGCGGGAAGCCTGCTTCTCCCTCTCCCACTCCCCCTGCTTGTATCTCCTCTCTCGCTGTGTCTCTCTCTGTCAAATAAAGAAATAAAATCTTAAAAAAATAAATAAATAAAATAAAATAAAATAAAATAAAATAGAGACCAAAGTAAGGGGAGGACAGGAGAATAATCAAACTGGTCTATAGCTGCTCAAAAACGCAGGCAATTTGGGGCTACAAATATACATATGCAAAAAGTAAATACTTTCTGGATTCATCATAGCTGCTTCACTTGGGCTAAGCTAATCCCCAAGACAGTCTTTCTTAGGCTCATCCAGAATCTTGTGATATCTTCTCAGAATGATGATATTGTTGCCCAAACACCCAATGAGAGTCCCCAAGAAATGGATCGAGTGAGCCATGCTCTGTCCCAAACTGGCTGTCCAGGGTTGGTAAGGAAGTAAGTGCTGTTGTTGCAAAAGCAGCAATCTGTGGGGATCGGGGAGGCTGGGGTTCCAGTCACGGTGCTAAGTCCCCCCCACTCCTGGTCGTCATCTGTAAAATAAGAGGGTTGGAACAGATGGCTCCCCCGGGTCCTTCCCACATCTGATCTGACACCAATGATGTAAACCTCTTTGCAATTTCCACAGAGAGCCAGATGCGGGACCCTTCCCAGGCTCCCCAAGCCCTTTTATTATGTCTGCAGTTCTGAAACAGAACCTCAAAATGTGACACTCCAAGCAATATTGTCCAACTCCATTTCACAGATGAGACACTGAAGCCCAACAAGATCAAGGATGCCCGTGTCCCCTCCTGCCCTTTTCATGCCCTCCTTCCATCCACTGGGTGCCTGGTAGGTATGTATCTGGCATTATGCTAGACTCTGTCAAGACAAGATGAAGAAGTCACAGCCCCACCCCTCAAGGGGCTCACAGTGCCAGACATCCCAAAACTCACCAGTACACATGTATGCTGTGACTTCTGAGTGTCCAAGGCACACAGACACGGAAAGGTTAGAGGAACCAAATAGGAGCCACCCCATCTGGGCTGACTGCCAACACTGGCCAAAGCCAGGGGAATCTTGAGGGTGCTTGGAATTCCTCCCTCTAAAGAGCAGCCTAGTTGAACATTAGCCAATGCCTGGGCACACGGGGACACTGCTGACTGTCCCACATTCAAGTCCACTACACTTGGTTCCAAAGAAAAGGCTTCCCCTGCCTGGCCACCCACTACCAACTTTTTAAGGCACAGTCAACTTCTCTTCCACGAAACCTTGCCAATGACGATGGACTCAGTATCACTCCCTCCCCCTATTTTTCTATCATCTGTTTTACATTCAGGTATCCTCTGTCTGACCTGCAATTTGGTCTCTTCATCTATATTTTACATCTCAAAAGCAGGACTATCTTCATAGCTGATGCTAAAACACTGCGTTGAATAGATGAATTCAGCGATTTGAGAGGCCGGTGGAAACCTATCCTCACCATTCTCCCCACCACCACCTTCCTTCCCTAAATAATTCAAACATGTCACATGGTCAAAAATCCACAATGGGAAATCCCTTCTCTTGACTGTGATAAGGAGGCATCGGATCTACTTGACAGCACTCAAGAGTTTTGTGAGCATAAGAAGAAGGAGAGAGATGGGAGAAAAATGTTCTGAAACTGACAAATTGATCAACAGAACCAAATAGGCACCTGACAAATAGACCCATGTATGTCTGGGACAGACAAACAGACCCATGTACGTCAAACTGATGGGGAAAGGAAGAGCTATGTGATAAAGGGTATTAGGAAAATTTAGGTAAAAAAAACTCACTACAAATTTTTAAAAATCCAGAAGAATTAAATAATTTTTTAAAGATAAGCGTTAGAAGAAAATGTAAGGGGATATTTTTATGATCTCAGGATGGGGAAGCTTCATAAGCAAGGCAAAAATCCCAGAAACCATAAAAGAAAATACCGACAAATTTGATAACTTTTCAAATGTCAATTTTTTTTTTTTTAAGTAAGCTCTAGGACCCATGACCCCTGAAGATCAAGAGTCGTGTGCTCTAACAATTTTCAAATGTTAATTTCTTATGGAAAAGATCCCATAAACAAAGTTAAAGTCAAGTGATAGGCTTAATATGGGGGAAAATCCTTACACCATATATGACAGAACAAAGACTCATCACCAAAAATAATCAAGGCTTCCTATGAATCATTTTCTTAAATGATAAAGAACCCAGTACAAAAACAGGTGAAGGTCCAAGCTGGTAATTCGCAGGAGAAACACAAAGTGGTCAGTAACTTTTAAAGACTCTTAAACTGCTAGATATCAAGAAAATGTAAATTTTGGGGATGCCTGGGTGGCTCAGTTGGTTAAGCGTCTGCCTTGGACTCAGGTCATGATCCCGGGGTCCTGGGATCGAGTCCCACATGGGGCTCCCAGCTCAGCAGGGAGTCTGCTTCTCCCTCTCCTTCCCACTCATGGTGTTCTCTCTCGCTATCTCTGCTTGTCTCTCTCTCAAATAAATAAATAAAATCTTAAAAAAAAAAAGAAAATGTAAATTTTAAAATGTGGTATTTTCAGGCATCATATTGGCAAAACGAAAAGTGGTAATAGTCCACATTGGTGAGCGTGCAGGGAAAAAGGAGTATAAATTGCACAACCCGGAGAGGGCAATCAGGCAGCGTGCGAGCACATTTTCACCGTGCATTCCCTCACCACCAGTTCTGACACCTCTAGTCACTACTAACACACTGAGGAAGTCAAACCTCCTTTGAAGTGGTCAGTCCAGGACCAAGGGTCAACTGACAAGCAGCAGGCCTGGAGCGGGACCACCCAAAGAGTCACAGTCTTTTCACCTTGCCGCTCTAGTATCAAGTTCCTGGGCCCAAATCTGAGGCACAGTCCTGCTCCGGATGCTCTACCCAATCACCCTGTTGGGCCCCAAGAATCTGGCCTCCTCAAATGCTTTCTCCAAAGCCACCACCACCCTCCCCAAACCTTAGGAATCTGCTTCCCACGGCGGGCGGGGGTGGGGGGGGCGCTGCAGAGTCCCAGCAGCCCACCCCATGCTTGCAGACCCCAGGACAAGCACAGAAACAGCACGATTAGCCTTGAACAGGCCCAGCCTTGTCTACATAGGATTGTTACCCCGTAGTCTCTCCATACTTTTCCCTCAAGGGAGACATCCCTCAGACCAGCCTTCTTTGAAGCCAGAAGTCTGAAGCGTTTCCAGTCCGACCAGTACAGATGTTCATTCAGAGCTCACCTATCCCAAGTAGGGAATCCGCCTTTGGAGACTCCCCTTCAGCCGACCCTGGTCCCACACTGAGCCAGGGTCCACTAGCTTTCATGGTCTCTTAACACCCTCCACTACCCCCCATTTCATGCAGTTCTTGATTCAATCGCATCACCAATTGATACGTTCAATCAGCACATATTGATTGAGAGCCTACTGGTGACCTATCTCCTGCCGACCCCTCAAAACCCCAGCACTCCTAGATACCATCCCCTCCTCAGGTCACAAGTCACCCCTCCAAGACTTGGCTCCAAGCAGCCTGCTCCTCTATTCTACTTATGCAAACTGCAGGCCTTAGCACACCCTCCCACGCCCTCAGTGCAGTCGGCTGTGACTACAGCTTTCTTTTCTCCAGCGTCGTGGGGGCCATTTTGGCCACCTCTCAAAACTGCACCCATTTTGCCGCAGCTGTCTTAGAGCTGGAAAACGGCCACTCTTCTGCTGGATTTATAGTTGTTCCAGAAAAACTATGCTAACTCAGCAGTAGAAAGCATTCACATATTCTCAAGTTCAAACACACTTCCTTTCCCAAGGAGGACAGGCTTGGCCTTGAGGGTGATTCTAGCATGGCTGGTGCCTCTGACTTAAATCATACAGAAAGCCAAACTCTTCAGGTCATTGTTCCCCAGCTAGAGGATGCAGGAAGGTGCTGTTTGGCACTATATGTGTGATTCTGATTTAGTAGATGTCTATTTAACTTCTGCAAATTAAATCCTAGTGCAAAGGCTGAGAACTTGCTAATTTTTTTCAAAGATTTATTTATTTTTATTTTAGAGAGAGAGAGGCAGAGGGAGAAAGAGAATCCTCAAGCTGACTCCCTGCTGAGAGTGGAGCCCGACTGGGCGCTCAGTCCCAGGACCCTGAGATCATGACCTGAGCCGAAATCAAGAGTCAGACGCTTAACTGACTGAGCCACCCAGGCACCCAGAACTTGCTATTTTTTTTTTTTTTTAAGATTTTATTTATTTATTTGAGAGAGAGAGAATGAGAGACAGAGAGCATGAGAAGGAGGAAGGTCAGAGGGAGAAGCAGACTCCCCGCCAAGCAGGGAGCCCGATGCGGGACTCGATCCCGGGACTCCAGGATCATGACCTGAGCCGAAGGCAGTCGCTCAACCAACTGAGCCACCCAGGCGCCCCAGAACTTGCTATTTTAAAAGAGCCTTTCAAAAGATGGACTCTTGCATGGAAAATTTTCCCCTTCTCGATCTTTCTTAAAATTCTGAGATAGAGATATAAATGTGCTCAGTAAGTTAAATGCATTACTAGCATGTGGCTTACTGGTTTGTGACCAGCACTGCTATTCAATAAAACAAAGAAAAATATATGTATCACATATAGTAAGGGTATTATTTCATGGAACTTTAGTGTGTATGTGTACACATATGTATGTGTATCCTGAGTTATGATGCAGAATGAATTTCTTCTTGTGGGTCATGGTCAAAGTTTAAAAGCCAGGGATACATGGTAATATTTAAAGGCTGCTATGTATACGGTTTATTTAAGATGTCACATCTGCTGATAGAAGAGGGGTCCCCAGTCTAAGAGTTCTGTGAGTTCTGAACACGATGCTTTACTATTCCAAGCCAGTGTTTTCCATACTTTTTTGACTAAGACTTACAGTAAGAAATATATGTTTAGGGGCTCCTGGGTGGCTCAGTTGGTTAAGCGACTGCCTTCGGCTCAGGTCATGATCCTGGAGTCCCGGGATCGAGTCCCACATCGGGCTCCCTGCTCAGCAGGGGGTCTGCTTCTCCCTCTGCCCTCTTCCCTCTCGTGCTCTCTGTCTCTCATTCTCTCTCTCTCAAATAAATAAATAAAATCTTTAAAAAAAAAAAAGAAATATATGTTTAAGTTGTGGTTTTATACTCACAAACCGCACAGGTCGCAACATGGCCCACATAACTGAAACAAATTTCATGACACACTACTTAGCCTGACTATCTGCCTTGCTCCCAGTTATTTCTTATTTTGTTTTGTAAAATGCTAATCACGACCCATTAAACCGACTTTACTACCCACTAATGTGCAGTGACTTGCTCGGAGTCTGAAAAGCCCCATTCTCGGGGGCGGGTGGGGAGTGCGGAGTAATTGTACATCCTGACCACGGACTGAACGAGAGCAAACTGTGTCTGCCCAGAATACCAAGGCGTGGGAACAGAGGCCAAGCCTGGGCAGGCAATGTGCTCAAGCGTCCTGGAGAATTAAAGATTTCAGTGGGAGAGGGCAGGGGGTACGAACTTGGGACACCTTTCCACCCAGAATAAAAGGACACAGTATGGACATGGGGCCCCTCCAGTGGGCTGCCCAGGTGGACTAGCTGGCATTCTGAAGCGAATGTTTTAGAAAGACAGACCCAAAGGCTGGGGGCTCCCCAAATAGCCCAGCCACGCCCCAGCCAGCCAGTAGCCCACAAACACCCCTCCCTCCTCTCCCACCAGGAGCTTTCAGTGCCTTTAAAATGTCCTCCAACTTGCAGCTCCAGACTCCAGCAACCCACCCCGCCAACTTCCCAACTTCACGAACCCCTCCACAACTGGAGAGGCCTCCCGTTCTTCTCAATTCTGCCTTTACCCCACCTGCCCCCTTCCCTCGAAATCCTACAAATGAGGATTTCTAATTTCCACAGGAAAGCTACAAAGCCCCAAGTGAGGCCACTCATCCCAACCTGGTGCTGTGGTGGAGGTGAGGGTCAGAAGCGGGTCTGGAGGCCATTGCACTGCCTTCTGGCCATTGCCCTGAGCGAAGGCCACTGACAGCACCCATACAAAAGAGGAGGGGACAAGCGGGAGGTGCCTGCCTCCCATCCAGTCCTACCATGCTCCAAGGATCAGGTCGTGAGCCCCTGTCCCCCACCCCATTCAGGCTAATCACCCCCCTTTTGTCCACTTTTGCAGTTCCATGAAATAGTTCCATGAAATAATACCCTTACTATATGTGATACATATATTTTTCTTTGTTTTATTGAATAGCAGTGCTGGTCAGAAACCAGTAAGCCACATGCTAGGGCAGAGACTAGGCTGCTGGGTGATCTCACTTGGCACTCACGTGCTGTGCCATCTGGTCAATCCTGGGATGTCCTGGAGTGTTGGCCAGGCTCCCGAAGGAGTCCACAAGCTTCCCGAAGGCGGGGACTCAGACACTTCTCTAAGTCTGGGACAGCACGAGACTTACTCTCTGAGTGCCCAGATACAGCACAATGGCGGTGGAGGGGGTGGGGGGCACGTGCCGTGGAGAAACACAGCAGCAGATACAAGGGCAAGCAAGGGAGCACCGACAGTTTGCAGGACCATGTGGTTCCGGCACAGCTCCAGCAACTGCGGCCCCTCTGTGGTTTGATTCAGGGGGCCCTCCGGGGAGAAAATGGAGGGGTTGGATGTGCGCTGGGGTCGAGCGAGGTTGGTAGGAGGCGGCAGAGCGGGGCTGTGGGGAGAGAATACCTCGGGCAGTGGGGCATCGACCCCCGCATGCTGGGTGCAGGAACTAGAGTCAAGAAGGGCTCACAAAGTAAATGTCCTGCACGAGGCCACCAAAGCTCACAGGACCCTTACAAACAACCCTTACAAACGACCCCTAGAGAAAGATCTGAAGTAGACGGCGGCGCTAACTATGCAGCACAACAAACCGGTACGTGCCTGAGAAGGATTTGCTAAGAAACAGAAATTTCTTGGGGGCGTTTGGGATCGGATTCTAATCCAGTCTGGTCATTCCTGACCAGCGATTGAGGCCAACGGTGAGGCAGGCGAGCAGGAACTAAAGCCTGGATCCCGGGGTGGGGGTGGGGGGTGGCAGGGGCGGCCGCGCCCCCCGCCCGCCCCCCTTTCCTGTGAAGGCTCCCTGGAGGCCGAGGGGCGGGGAAAACTCGCGGCAGTCTTGCATCAGACGAAAGGCGGGTACGGTTGCTGCCCCAACCGGGCCGCCTTGTCTGCAGCCTCTCCAGCTGCCACGAGACAGGCTGTGGCTCTGCCAGCGCCCCCCACCCCATCCCACCCCACCCCACGCTCCACCCCACCCCCGGGGAAAGCTGGACTCGGCCGGGCTCGCCAGGACTTAGTCCGGGGAGGATCGCGGGTCCCTGGGCTCCCCGCGCGGAAGCCACTTTGGCGCCCCTTCCCGCCCTCGCCCCCGCCCCCCCGCCAGGGCCACTGTGCGCCTTCGCGCTGGCATCCCTCGGGGCAGCCCGCAGGACCAGTTGGAGCAGCCTGCACTTTGCAGTGCTGGCGGGAGGCGAGCCAACGTGAAACACGCGGTTGCAAACTGAACGCAAAGTTTGCATCCCGCCGCTCGCCGCGGTTTGTTTCTCCCTCCCCCAGCCCCCAATCTCGGGAGGCCCCAGGATTGACTGGTACCGGGGACGGGGGTGGGGGTGGGGCGCACTGGCCCCGGCGCCGGCCGGCCGGTTTCGGCAGGGGATGATGCCATGCCACCAAACCCTCGTCTCTCTTCCGTTCGCCTTACCTGCAGCTCGGCTATCAGCTCCTCTTTGCTCAGGTTCTGCTTCTCCACCACCTGCAGCCCTCCATCTTGCAGGATCTTCCGGCAGCAAGGGTCCAGGCTGTCACTGATGAGCACTTTCCGCAGATTTGCAAAGGCCATTGCCGGAGTCGGCTTCGGAATCGGCCGCTCCCGCGGGGCAGAAGCACCTAAGCCGAGAAACTGTAGTTCCGGCTGGCGGGCTGGTGTAACTGGGCAGGATTCTTGATCTCCCGCTCCCCTTTTATCTCCCCCTTCTGCTCCTACCGCCTCCTTCTGATTGGGCAAAAATACTCAAACTCTCGGTGACTCCGCCTCCTCCTCGCAGCTCGAGCCTTCAGTTCCCCGCCCACTTTATTATTCTCCAGCGACGAATTTCTCAATCTCAGCGAAAGCTACACCTGGTGAGCATATAGAAACACAATTTGCGCTGACTAGCTGATTCATATCTCACACAGAAATATTTGTTCTCACCCTGAGAGAAATGTTTCATGTTCACTTCTTTCTCCCGAAGAACGTATTCAATAATTCCTTAACAAGAATTTAATGAACGCACCTATTATGTGCAAGGCACCGTGCTGGATGCTGAAGGGGCTCGGACATCCCCTGGTGGGCTAACACCGAGGGTACCAAAGGCAGACACGGAAAGTTACATAGTGAAAAGCAATAGGAAGCTTTCTGAGACCTCACAAAGCAGTGCTTAATTACAAATGAATGATGCATTGGGAATTATGAGTTTGAAAGAGAACAGGGACTGACTGGGTGCATTTAGAGCTGCCAGAATTTTTGTTCCAGTTCCCCATTCTCTTCCTCCACTTCCTCTATGATTATGAAAAAGACAAAAGGAATGTGAGATGTCAGTTTGATCTAATTTATATGTTGACCAAGGAGGCACTTCCCAGCTCTTAACTCCTTTATGTTTAAACCCCATGACAAACGTTCCTATCCCATGCCCCTCTTGCCAGAAATATTGGGGGGGGAATCCGTTTAAGGCCCTCTAGGATCAGAAGCAGAGTCGGGCATGTTCCTAGATGAATGAGAATTCAGTTTATCCAGCCGCGAGCCATCCTCAGCCAGCGTGTGCCCTGGTCCTGAGAAGCACCCAGCGTCAGCTTGGTACTAGCATGGAGCACCAGGAAGGCCTCCAGCAGTGCTGCCTTTCAGAAGATGCGCTGATGCTCCTCTAAGGCAAGCACTCTCCGCGACCTAAGGATATGGTGGTAAGTAAGGCATTATCTGCCTTCAAGCTGCTCTTAGTCACTTGTCTAATCTTGAGAGCTGAATACGAAATAACCAGGGAGAGAAGAAGTGACATGTACAGAGGCCCAGGGTGTGATGAATAGCTGAAGGAGATGCCCGAGGGGTGCAGGAGACCAAAGTGCAGAAGGGCCAGCCTGCCCAGCAGGGGCCTTTCCCTGGGGAGGAGTTTGAATTGCACTCCAAAGTAGTACAGAGGCACTGAGTGATGTTTTAGATGGGATCTGCTTACGTTAGCTGAGCTGAGCCCTTGCACTGCTAATGGAGATATAATATCTCTCTGCACTGCCCCCCACCCACCGCATTCCCATCCTTCACCCCTACCTCCAACATCAACTGCAAGTTGAGGATTTTTCTTTTACAATCAGCCTAGGAGCAGAGGAAATATTCTCCCCCCACCCCATGTTATGCCTTCCATAAAACAGGAACTTTGGCCTTCTTGGAAGTATTAGGAAAATAATTCTGCCATTCTCTCAAGACCCCTCACTCCCTCCCCTCCCTGAGCCTTAGCCCCTTGGGAAGAGAGACAGTTTAGGGGAAAGGTCCCAGGGCCAGCCCAGGCCAGCCCCTGCTTAGCTCTCTCTTTTGGAGCTGAAGCCCACAAATAAGGTGCCCTCCCCTGCTTCCTTGTGTGTGGTGAGCCCACCAGGGCCAGCCCCACCCCATGTACCTGAGGGGGCAAGAGCCATAGCTGTCCAGCTGCTCTTCCTGTAGAGGATAAGGTTCATGGGAGAGAGGGAAGGGGGAGAGGTAGGAATCCTATTTTTTTACTTGGAGCCCAGCTGTGATCTCCAAAGTCACATTAGGAGTAATAAAACAGATATTTTGATGAGTAGATGATGAATTGTCATCTGTAAAACAGGCATATCTGAGTTTGAATTTCAGCTTCTGAAATTACTGATAATGTGACCTTGGGCAAATTACATTGCTTCTCTTAGACTTAGTTTTCTTCTCTGTACTATGGGGCTAGTAGGATAGTGCTTACTTCATACGGTTGTTGTGACAATATGCAAAGCACTCAAATGAGTGCAATCTGTAGTGCTTGGCTTTCATTCATTCATTCAGTCAGTCAGTCAGTCAGACAGCCAACACATATTTATTGAGAGCCTATTATGTGCCAGGAACTGCTGAGGGTGATGGGAATGAAGCTTTGAAGGGGACAAACACAGTCCCTGCTCTCACGGAGCTTATGTTCTGTTTGGGGCCAGAAAATAAACAAATAAGTGAAAAATGGAACAAGATAACTGCAGGATGTGAAAGTATGATGAAGAATACAAACTGAGTGACGTGATAGAGAGGATCGGATGTGGGGGCATTTATGTTAGACTTTATAACCAGGAAGGGGCTTTCCAAGAAAAGGATACTGGGGTTGACACTGAAATAAGAAGCCAATTTGCAAAGAACAGAGGAAAGAGAATTCTAGGCAGACGGCAAAGCAGAACAAGTCTGGCACATTCAAGGAACTTGCTCCCAGATATTCCTGTAGCACTTACTGTGTGCCAGGCCCACCGCCATGCCCTGGGATAACAATGCTGGACAAGTCACACACAGTGCCTGGCCTCTGGAGACTGGAAGTTCTAGCATGTGAGCATGTGTGCGGTGTGTGGCCCATGTCGGACAGTCAGGAAAATCTCTGAGAAGGGCAGCGCTTAAGCTGAGATCTGAAGGTGGAGGAAGAGCCAGTGGAGAACATTTGGAAGAATATCCAGGGGAAAGAGGACAATGAGAATAAAGTCACTTGGGTAGGAAAGAGCACCTTTGGTCATATAGAGACCAAAGGGGAATGAGGCACAAGATGAGGTGGAGAGGTCAACAGGGGACAGACCACTCAGGCCAGGTGAATAGTCTGGACTTCTGTGGATGCAAATTAAAAACTCAGTTTAAACTGGCTCAAGGTGTCTAAGAAGATCAAATGTGGACAGAAATGAGTTCAGACTGGTGTCATTGGCAATCTGTCTCTCTCCCCATCTCTGTTTTCTCTGGCTTTGCTTCATTTCCAGAAAGCCAAGATGTGGCAAGAATGTCACCAGTTAGTGAAGACTATAAGATTCCGTTGTATGTTCTGAGCAGTTTTGCAATCCTAGAAGATTGCTCTCATTTTCTAAGAACTGCCACAATGTTTTCACACCTGATCCTCACTGGGTCAACTGGGGTCGTGTGTCTGTCTCTGAACCTATTCCTGTGTCCAGGGGAATGGATATGCTGGCTGGTCAGTCCTGAGGAAAGCACCCACTTCAGAACTGAAGAAAGTTCCATCTGGAATATATGCTAAGAGTATGAGGAAAGTGGGTCCCTAAAGGAAACTTCAGGGTGCTAAGCCAAGAGAAGGGGTGTAGGGATTGGAGGACAGGCTGGTAACGCCAACAGTCGACCACTCCACCATGCTAAGGAGTTTAGATTTTATTCTAAGTAAGATGGGAAACCATTGAAGTTTAGTTATAAGGAGGGGAAAGTATTATCTAAGTTTTAAAATGATCATTCCATAATTTACACCGAAAAGACTCCTTTTTACAGTGTGGTTTTGGTTATCATTATGATGATGATGACAATGAATACTATGATGATAACGATTAGGAGAGAAGTGGGTCCCTTGTTTGGCATCTGTAAGGCACAGTTAGAACTTGAAAAGGCAAATCTCTGACTGTGAAACTAATAAGAACCAGTGAATAATGGATGGAGTTAACCACCTGACAAAGTAACCCATCCTGAGAGAAGGTAAATGTCTGAAAAAGGAGTTTTGGGAACGACCAGATCAAATTAAGAGAATACTGTTTCATCCAAATACTACTAAATGTTAAAAAGAAAAAAAAAACCCTCTTAATATAATCAATTGCTTTATAATTTTTCTGCAGGAAGAATATATTAATGGAAAGGCTGGTCTGCATGTTCAAAAAGATGATCCAAGGTGAGTCTTGGCTTTTACCCAGCACTGTTCCAGAAGAAAGAGAGGAAGACTGCATGTGACAGACAGGAGTGGTCAGTAGCAAGGTGTACTTCGATGTGGTACAGCAAGAATTCACCAGATTGTATCATAGTCTGTATAAACATATCCCTTCTGATTCTGCAACTCCTTTCCTTTGCTGTTCTTCTGAGCACCTATTTTATTTTCCAGATACCCTGATTTCAGTAAAGGGTTGCTGAGTGGATCTGTTTCTCACCAGATCCCATTGCCAGGTTATGTGGTAAAAGGAGAAACAGGCAGAAGCTAAAAGGCTGTGTTTTGAAGGGCTCCTGTCAACAGGAGAATGCTGTCAAGCAAAAAGGGTTGAGGGAATCAGGCATGGTCACTAGACGGACAATCTCCCTATTCATAAACACAGGAGTAAGGGGGAGCAAAGTATGTGACCCCCAAATATGCACTATGACATGTGGATTATTTGGAGCTAAAGGCAATCAAGACCCAGCAGACTCAAGAAAAAGAACTATTACCAGAGACAACTTTTTATCTGAAAGACCTATCCACATGGGAGGACAAATATCGAATTACTAAACATCTGCTCTTCTTACAGTCCTGTGAATTACCCTCTTCCGCTTTGAAGCCCAGGCCTCTATCCTATTCCTTAGCTCAGGAGGGTATATAACCTATCGCCTGGCTTGACATTGGGTCTCATATTCTAATGGGGCTTTGGTACATACATAATTACATTTGTTTTTCTCCTGTTAATTGTCTTACGTTAATTTAATTAATAGGCCAGCTAAAACAATCTAGAGGAGTAGAGGAAAAATTTTCCTCCCCTGTAGGAGAATTCAGGTTTGTATTCTTGTCTCTTGTGAGTTAGGCTAGTGGTAGTCTCTGAAACTCTGATCGACACTAGCTTCCCTCCGAGATCTCAGGCTCTCCTCTCAATACCTTAAACTACAATGTCTCAAAACCTCTTTAGGCCACTGAACTCTATAAGAATCTGAGGAAAGCTACAAACCCACTCACCTTCTAAATTGTGCATAAATTTTGGGAATTCATGTACCTTTTGTAGCCTACTCATGGGCCTCCTAGGATCCCACGAACCT